GGGGGGGGGGGGGGGGGGGGGGGGGGGGGGGGGGGTAGGCTTTTTTGGGAAAATGATAACGAGCACTTTGGACGCTATCCGGCACACTTTTGGCATTCAATTAAGGCGAAACTTGTGGGCGTTGCCTGTCGGATAATAATTGTGAAGGCAGTGCCAAGCCATAAAGAAACATTCCCAAAATTGTTACAGAAACGTGGAAAAGCAGGAGCAGACCTCTTACGCAGGCTAAGCACGTTGTCGGGATGTCAGAGACTTAAGTCAGACTTGACGCTGCCAGGTAATAATGCACAAGTCACACCAAAAGGAATTTAAATAATAACCATAACAATAAGACACACACACACACAGAGAGAGAGAGAGAGAGAGAGAGAGAGAGAGAGAGACAGTCCCCCAGTTTTGCCAAGTGAATTACGGGCGGCACGTGAGGACAGACCCAGAACCACACACACAGGGATTTGCGATAACCACAAATAATTAGGGGACAAGGAGCAGCGAATTAATACAGGAAAAGGCACATGCAAGTTGGAGATATTTATGAATGCTTGAAAAGGAGTTTCCTGAGAGTGACATGCCCCTGCGGCGAGGCATTCCCCTGGCAGCCATTTCTTTACTTTTTCCACCGATGATTGCTCGCAACAATAAATCAGCTGCCTGATAATGTCGGGCGTCTTTTTTTGCTGCAGTCTTTGTCTGCTAGATGCGTTTTTAATGCTGCCCAGGATTAACGCTTCGGGAATACAAGTAAGTGTCGAGTCCAGCCAAGGGTACTCCCGCCCTCCCTGCTGAACCTTTGACAAATGACACGCTTTTTGGTTCGGTTTTTTGTGACATGATTCGACGACAAAGTGTTGACCCTGTTTGGCTAATTAATTATTTGTTCTGTTGGGTGTCAAAAATGTAATTAACGAGGCAAAAGTGCTTAAAGTTTTCCGTTTCCCGTTCAAGAAACGTTTAAACTTTCCACAAACTTTGTGTCATGCCAGGACACACAGTAAATACTCACAGTGGCTTTGAACGGGCCGTAATACACTCCGAAATTCCTTTTTGAACAATGTCTCTCTACCATTTGCTAATCTAACTTGTTCTTGCCATCCATGCTGGACTCAGTTGTATCCCTGCTGGTTTTGGGATGATTTGCCTGTTCCACATCGATAATTGTGACACTGGGAGAAAGGCAGTCACAATCACCACCAGCCAGCCTCTGCGATCGCGTCATGCAAAATGGACAGCTGTGGATAGGTCTGGTAATCATTTTTCTACTTTAAAGTACACCTAACGCACCTCGCACCTGATGTCACCTTAACAGGCACATATGGCTTCAAGTGTATCTGCCTGTACACACACTGCAAACGATGGCTTATACACAGGACAATCATCAGCAGGAAGGCAGACAACACAATGCCCATCCAATAGCCAATCTAACACACATCGTTACAAGTACAATCAATCATTGAATAAATACTAACAACTACTCACTATGGGGTCAACCATTTCACTGCAAATTGTATCCAAACTGCGATCATAAATGTAACTCAGCGGCTGACAGTTTCCAATTTCGTGATTCGCATCGTAGACAACCATCTTGATGTAGTCATCGATTTGTTCATTGATCACAGCGGTTAGGTTTTTGCCAATGTTCGCCAGATACGTCTTGCCCAGATCGCGTATAAACATCTCAGTGCTTAGAACATTTTTCAGCAGAATGCGCAGCGAGTCGCCAAAGTTGTAGTGTTGATAGAGAATCGATTCGTCGACATCCTCAACGACTGTAATCAAATCAGAGATATGTCCATTCAGAGTGGGTGCGTATGCCCAATAGAATGTGAGCAGATTTATGTATTCATTCTCAAAGGCAGACCTCGCCCCACGATAGTTGTTCCACGACAACGATTTGGCCATTCTCTTCAGCGCCAGTGCCAAATTATCGAAAGGAATGGGCACATAATCGTAGCACAGATGATCATACCACAGCGAGGGATGTATAATACCCAACTCCTGCTTCGACACCGACAAGTACACCTCCTTATCCTCCTCGGTGACTAGCGTGAAATTCGATAGATCCACATCCTCAAAGAGCTCAAAATTGGATTCCATGGGGGACATGACGCGCATGCGCACCATGTCATCCACATCATAGATGCGATTCTCACGCAAATACTGGAAGATCATGTTCTCACCCTCACACTCGTTGATGAGATTTGATAGCTTGGATGCCGTACTGCCACTGCGCTCTCGATCATTCTCTTCGCCCTCTGATCTGGGCTCATCGATGGGCTTGGCTGGCGCCGACTTTTGTGCGTAAAGTGGCGCGCAGGCGCCTTTGTAAGCCACAGCGCCAATGACAACATAGAACAGGCTCATCATAAGCATAATGGATACCACACAGAATATCAGCACCATGGCGCTGCAAGGTAACAAAAAAGGTTCACTCAGTGAGGGACGAGTAAAGGCAACGAGCGACTCACACTAACAAAAAGTACGAACCAATCTTTTGGCTTAAGACACCATCCTCCACGCCAGTGACACGTTTGCCAAAGTTGCCAAAAATCAGGGCAAAGATCAGTAGAATCAGGATCTAAATAAAGGTGGAGCTAGAGCTTAGCTGGGGGAGTGCCATGAGTTTCCATACCACAATCACCGACACGGAGATGTACAGCACCGCATAGTAACGCGTCTCATTGAACCTATCGTAGAGATCATCGAATGCTCGCGTGGTGCGCAGCGTGTACAGGTGTATGTCACTGATGACCACATCGATGATTTCATTGATGCGATCTGCCTGCTTTTTAAACAACTTCCTTCCCTTCTGTATGTCCCGAATGATGGGTGCAGCGACGCGTTCCAATTCCTCTGTAATCAGCACGGTCATCTCGTGCAACTTTTCGAGTGCCTCCCCGGGCCGGTGCATATGCTCGATAAGTGCCTTCATGCTGGGCAGAATGGAATCAATTTCGGGCATCTAAATGGGCAACGAATTTGAGAGATTTCTATTCAAATTTACACACACAGAGACACACCTTTTCCGGATGCAAGCAGCGTGAGGTGTCGAGATATTCGATTTCAGTGCGACCCAAAAACTTGATGCACTCCATGCTGCCACAAAGTACAGTTGCCGCAAAGTTCACGTCACGTTTGACGCCCCTCAAAGCTGTGCGGGAAAGGCAATCGTTGGGATTAAGGAAAAGACTCTAACTGGCCATATCATACCATCTCTTAAACGCATGGCCGTGACTCTGACCATTTTGTCAGTGTATTGACCACTTTCGAGCACGTCTGATATGTAATCAAAATTGCTAAATATACGATCCAATTCCACAAGGGAATTGGCATCCGAAGCATCGTTTAGGTCCGCAGCTATGTGCTGGGGTGCGTCTGGTTTGGGGTAGGAAAAGGATGATTAAAAGGCAAAAGCAAATTGAATTTCGTTACTCATGATCATGGCCACCAGATGCGTGGACAATTCCTCATAGTTTTTCACAAGCAAATGATTGACATGCGCCTCCACGGAGTATAGGAAATTGCAAGTGTCCACGCTGCCTATTTCCAGCGTTCTCTTGGTCTTGGCCAGGCCACGTTCCAGCAAGCCATTTGAGTAGAAAGCCAAAGCCATGCACAAACTGAAGAGAGTGAGCTGAGAGTGAAGCAAACAAGTGTCTGGGCAGCATTACCTACCCGATCAGTATAATGAGTAGAGCCAGACAACCGCCCAAGATAAAGCGTCGTCGTCGATTCTCCACCGTCATGCAGGGCGGACAGCCCTGCCTGCAGCGACAACAACAAAAGCAGCAATACAACACGCTGATCCAACGAGCAAATTAAACTAATTAAACATTAAAGGGGATGCCAGGGGATCGCGAAGTGCTCTACTCACCCTAGCAGGGGCATCAGGATAATGAGTGCCACGAGAAAGATCACCCAAAGCCAAAACATCCAATGGGCAGACAGCCAAGCGGCCCAATCATTCTTATCCACCTTCGGGCCCATTCTCATGTGATCCGTGCCCACAAACTGCAAGTAGCCTGGCAAATAAATTAAACCAAATATAAATACTCGACCCAAAATGGAGAGTCCTTTCCGCTGCTCACCTCTGGGCACGCGCGAAACGAGTGGAAATATTTTATCGTAGAAAGTGCGCGAGAATTTCAACAGACCATCCAGCGATCTCGTGGACTTGTCTCGCGCTGTGTAATTCATCACCGGCTGGAATTTGGAAAACTGAACGGGCGGAAAGTGTACCTGCCCCAGCTGCTCGTGCGTGGTGCCATCGCCGGAGTAACCCTCGCGCCAGATTTGTGGACCCGCACGGGCGGCTCTTTTGGGTCGCACCTTGCGTGCGGCACACAGCTGCAGCCACAGCGCAAAGAGCAGCAGGACAGCCAAGGCCAGGCTGATGCTGCCACCAGCACTGAGACTTCTTCTGCGATGATTTCTTTTTCTATATTTGGACATTCTGGCAGTCCTGAAGTGTTGTCCTTGAGCTTAAAGTCTTAAATGGGGATTTGTGGCATGCGGAACGTGCTCACCTATGTTAGTGCAGCTGGAGACAGTGGATCCATTCCTGGACTTGCATTTGCAGACACCTCAGTTTAATTTTAATGGTTTGTATTTTGTATATTTGAAATAAATGGCAAGTTATATTTGTGTGTCAGCGTGTGGGAGTGTCAAAAGTAACAGCAAAATCAAAGCAAAGGCACAGAAAAGGGAGAGAGCTTAACAAAGAAACTCCTGCAAGTGTGCCAATGAAGGCAAATAGGTATCTGGGAGCATTTCCCTTTTCTGCTGCTCCTCGCAGTTGCGACATAAACGCACATCCTTCAGCGTGCTGACGCCCGTGCCCACCAACAGAGATTGAAAGCCACAATTGCTGGCAAACAGCATATCCGTATAGAGACTGCAGCGAGGTTGCAATTATTACAGCTGAGACATAGCTAAGATTGAGCAGCTCTACTCACGTATCGCCCACCATCAGCGTGGACTCTGGCTTAAGTTTTCCCGACTGCAGCAGCTGATCGATCATCCAGGGATTCGGTTTTCCCAGTATCAGTGGCTTGCGGCCAGTGATGGCCTTTATGGACGCCACCATGGCACCGGCACCCACAATTATGCGATCTTTGCCCACGGGATAGGCAGTGTCCAGACACGTGCCCAGAAAGAGCACATTTGGGTCCTGCAGATAGGAGCTGGCGCGTATTATCTTGGGCACATTGAAGCCCTCATCCTTGCCAATGACAACGGCACCCACTTCGGGATCGAGATGCATGTCCTTGGCAAACTGCTCCATGGGCTGCAGCAGCTTCTCCTTGGGCACAAGAAAGCTGCAAATATTCTCCTTGGCCAGCTCACCGACTAAGGCCGGCTCGCCGACAATGTAGGCCTTCTTCTTGAACCCCTTGGAGCCCAGAAACTTGGCCACGGACACGCTCGAGCTCAGCATTTGTCCCTCCTGCAGGTCAAAGCCAAACTGCGTGGCCTTCTGGGCCAGCTCTTGAGTGAGTAAGCCCGAGTGATTGGTCACCACAAAGGTCTGCCGGCCCGTGCTCTTGATTATATTTAAAGTCTCCACCGCACCATCGATGGGTAGATTCAAGTGCCACAACACACCATCAGCATCGAAGATCACCGACTCGATGGTGGACAGCCACTGGCGCACCTTCTCTTTGGGTATTTTGGTGAGATCCGTGCAGCTGCGCTTGAGCATGACGACTTGGCTTAGAATTATTCGGATTTTTGTGAGGGTTTCAAAGTGTAAAATACTTGACATTGCACGGAGCAAGTACTAGATTTGAAAGCAAGGGCAAGGAAAGACACAACCCAAAGTTTAATTGAAGAATTTTCTGTGATTTGAAGCACGATCTAAGACCCAACAAGTACCTTGAATGTCTGCGAATTATTGAAGAATTGTTGATGATTTTTTGTCCCGATATAAACAGAGTTTTAGCTCGAATTTCTGCGATGAATTTACGAATTTTCTATCATTTGTAGCTAGATCTAAAGACCCACTAAATCCCTCAAATTTGTGCGAATAATATAAGAATTTTCATTGATTTGCTTGTAAGATCTACGCAGTATTCAATGGATTAATAAAGCAGAGGCTGAAGAGTGATACAGACAAAAAATTCAACCATAAACCATGCACAAAAAGCACAAGCAGAAATAATAAAAGTCAGAGGGCTCTCAGGATACTCCAGCAGGACGTCCATTGTGTGAATTGGAAGCCTGTTCAGTGCCACACAAATTTAATAACTAAAACAATTATGCACAGATAAACATAGATGAACCAAAGGTGCCACAGCCAAGACAGTAAAGAGTCAATAAAGAGAGTTCTGAGTTGAGTAAAAGTAGCAGAAACTTTTGCCTGGCGTCTGCCTATCGATTGCGCGAGTGTAAAAATGGCAACAAATCCGAGAGTCTGGGCAAATACAAATCGGGTATTTGCTGATAAATCATTGGCTGCTTCGAGGCCTGAGCAGTGCGAATATCCTTGAGACTGCTGACGCCAGTGCCCACGAGTAGAGTGTGAAAGCCGCAGTTGTAGCCAAATTGGATGTCCGTGTACATGCTGTGGAAAATTCATGAAAAGGGGAAGTCAGTGCAGACAGAAACTTACGTGTCGCCCACCATCAGAGTGCGTTCTGGTTGTATGACGCCCTGACGCATCAGATGGGAACAGACATAGGGACTGGGCTTGCCGCAGGTGAAGGGCGGACGCTTGGCCACCGCTTGGATGGCAGCCACCATGACACCCGCACCGGGCACATGTCGATCGGCAGCCACGGGAAACGCACGATCCCGATTGGTGGCCACAAAGAGGGTCTGGCTATTCCGCAAATAAATGCTCGCCTTGGTCAGCTTCACCACATTGAGGTCCTTGTCCATGCCAACGGCTACGGCGCCCACATTCGCATCGAAATACATTTTTTGCACCTGCTCCGCCAACGAATTCTCCTGCATGCTGGCCGTGTCCAGCGGCAGACTGTCGATGCCCACCAGCTTGAGTTCATCCTTGATGCCCTGCCCACCGACAATGTAAACTTTCCGCTGGAACTTGCGCTCCCTCATGAACCGTGCGAGGGCCTGCGCGGAGGACAGGATCTCATTCTCGGCTACCATGAAGCCCAGCTTGTTGGCCTTCTTGCTCAGATCGCGACAGGAGTAGGAGGAATTGTTGGTGCATATGAAAGCATTCTTGCCCATGCCACGCAGAGCGTTGAATGTATCGGCAGCTCCATGGAGTGCCTCCTCGTGGCGCCACAGCACTCCATCCGCCGCGTAGACGATCGTGTCGAAGGTGTTCAGCAATTGGCGGACATTGAAAGTGTTGGGCGTCAGCACACGGCCACCGCCCATGTGCAGCACTTTGCGGGTTAAAGCAAAATTCATTCTCGATCCTTAAACGTAACCCAAATCGATGTGTGTGCTGAATGTTTTGTGACGCTAAAATCGGAGAAAACTTGGCCAAATCTTCCTCTAAGGGAAAGTCATAAATTTTCTTGTGAAATTTAGCTTTGGATAGCAAAGTTTTGTGCCTGGAAGCCCTGACCTTTAAGCCAGCGATGAGTCCCCAGGAACCGCCACGGACTTTGCCATTTCCGATGCATTTAATTCACTAAAACTTTTGCTACTTTCGGCCAAGACTGGCACCAGTCAGCAGGAGCTGGCTGCGGTTCCGTGGTTCAGATCTCGCTGACAACTTTTAATTGGCCAAATGGAGGGGAAGCCAGCACCCATTCCCGTGGTAGCTGCTGCAGGGGGTGGCTTTTGGAGCCCAGCATTTGACTAAGCTGTCAGCAGACACCGCCCGAGCCCGAGGCGCCAATTAAAATGGCATTCAGGCTTTATTGTTGACAGTCGCTGTCGCCTTCGAGCACCAAATCCGACACTTGTCCAGCGCCACAGCCGGTGCCAGGGAGTTGGGCTCGCCGCACCTTGACATAAATTCATTAAATCGCATTCAGCCGCCAGCTAGTCGGCTTTGAAATCTGCCGCAATTTAACGGATCTCTGTTGCATGCCCCACGGTCGAAAATTCTACAGCTCTAAAAAAGCCAAAGCCAAATTGGCCAGCAAGCAGGAGGAGGCCAGACCGTGCTGGGGATAAGCTGCTGCCCCGCGGGCCAACAGCGGAAAAGGCAAAAGGCAGAAAGCAGAAAGCCAATGAGGAAGTTCAGGCACCAGAGCAGAGCAGAGCCTGGCGATATCCCGCCTCCAACTCCTCTGTTATGGTAATTTGCGTGAGAGGAGAAAGAAAACAGGAACTTGGCAGCTAAATAAATCGAATCTATACACTGGAGCTCGTTTTTGTGGTGTAGCTGTGGCCGTTACTAATTAGTTGCTTGCATTTAATGTTAATTTAAAGTGTGCACCAAAGGTTGCTCTATTAATTGCCTCTCCAACTGCCTCTGGCACTGGGCTTCTCCATTTCCTTAAGTGTAAAAAACGCTTTACATTTTCTTTTCCTCTCAATTTATTCGACACATTGAATGGCTGTGGGCAAGGCAAATCCACGTGGAATGCATTGATATGGCTAAAACAATTCAGCAACTGTAGGAAGGGTAAGAGAGCTGATCAATACCTCGCAGCCAAATGGAAGTTTAAGCACAAAGTTTTTGGCCCAAAACTTTTTTGCAACAAAAACAAAAAAAGACAGCAAAAGTAAGAACCGAAACGTTAACTTTTTGTATCAAGTTTACAAGACTAAAGTTAATTTCTTGACCGCCCTGTGTGGACCCTGCGGGGTGGACACACTGTTGCCTGTTGTTTTGCCCTAATTAATACCTCGAGACGAAGCCTGAAATCCACTTGATTTATATGCTAATCAGCGGCTGCCACAAGCCACTCTAATGGAGTGAGGGGGAGTGTAAGGCAGCTTGGGGGCATCGACAGTTACTTAAATCATGTTAAGGGTGCGCTCTGTGCTTTGTGGAAACTTTAAATTATCCGATAGCTGCTAAATAAATCATTGTCCAGATAGCATCAACAGCTGCGTCGGTCACCAGGCGCAATTATTTGTGGAAAATGTATTGCCGGCAGCCCCACGACTGCTGTTCACGGCCTCCATAAGCCACTGCCCAGTAATCTCACCAAGGGCTGACGGATGGGCAGCAGTGTCTCCGACAATCAGCTTTAGACTTGCATTGCACAAGCTTAGCCTCAAAATTCGGAGCACAATTGAAACGTTGAGGCATGCCACAATGAGCCACACATTCTCTGTGTGTGTTTCCAAGTAGATTTCCATAAATACAAACCCAACGTTTACTAGCTTAAACCTACAATTGAAACACACGAGACGAGTGCTCTTCGATTTGGAGTGGTTATGCAAGCCGTAAGCCACAAAAGCACAGCCCCATAAGTGGATTTAGGGTAGAGAATCGCTTTAGGATGCTTGTCTTTCCGGCGACACTTTGAACTTTAAGCCTTATCTGTATTTGGAATATCTTTAAAATGCTGCCACAATCAGCTGTACCTTGGTCGGTGCATAAATGCTTCATGGAACATACAACCAGCTTATCGTTAGCTGGAATCCCTTGCCGGCCATGGCTCACGCTGCGTATGAGCAATGCCACAGAGCAGCAGGAGGGACAGGGACAGGGCCAGCAG